TCTAAATGTAATTAAACATTTAGATTTTAATTTAACGATACAGTTTATCTATTAATTAAATCTAATCTATTATTTAAAAAATAGCACACTAACCATTAATATAGTCCAGATCATAAGTGTACACTAACCATTAGTGTAGTCATATATATGAATATTATCTGGGTTAAAAGAATTATCTGGACTAAAGTTTAAAGCTATAGTACAACCTATAGCTTTAAACTTGCAAACTGGTAAAAGTGTAAATTGGCATTAGTGCGCCAAACAGGTTAGCAAACAATACGAATAGGCAAAAACTACAGAAGTGCGAACTGACATAAATGCGTGCAATAAATTCGCAGTTTAAAATTATGCTAAATTTTGCAAATTTATTTGGCACACTTATGCCAGTTCGCGTTTATGTTGTTTGCACTTTTGCGAGTTTTTGCAACTTCTTCACACTTATACCAGTTCCCACTTATGGCAATTCACACGTATGCGAATGTTTGTAAATCTATTTAGCGCACTTATGCCAATTTACACATATGCCAGTTTGTACTTATAGCAGTTTGCAATTATGCCAATGTTTGGAATTCTTTTTGTGCAATTATGCCCATTTGCACTTATTCCATTTGGCATTGTGCCAGTTTTTGTAACTGCTTCGCACATGTGCTAGTTTGCGCGTATAAAATTCAGGGTTATTCAGTCATCCCATTATGGTAAAACAGCCAACGTAGAGCCATGCATGGGATTTGTATAATGGATTGTAAGACGGGAGTAATATCATTATAAAATTAAAAAGAGTATTTATAGAAATGCACTTTTAATTTACTAACCTCTTCATCATAGCTATCACAAGTTTTTGACAGTTCTTACCACTAATATTTTGAACTCTTTGTTTCTAATAGAAAGAAATAATGGAAATCTGACAATTCCTAATTAAGTAGTAAAAATTATATATTGTAAAGAAAATTAAAAAAAAAAAGAAAAATCTGTCAAATCAGTATTTAGCAATTTACAACTGCAGAGATACTACAGAGTTACTAGGTGAATTATTGTCAAGTGCTGAGTCAAACTTATCAAATTTTATTATGCTTTTCCTTTCAGTTACTACTTCTTCTTCACACTATTTTATATTAAGTTTTTTGCATCCTTGGGTTTTTATCTCATTTAAGAGAAGCAACACATAATATTGAAAGTCTAAACAAATTTACACTAATTAAATTTTACATTGTCTTAACTAAACTACGTAAATAAATTTAAAATACATAAATTTAACAATTTAACAACTTTACTGGTCTAAGCCTAAATCAGAGAAAAACTAATAGACAGTAAAATACCTAAAAGTGGCAATGCTATATTATATATATTAGCATTTTTTCTCAGATTTCGGATTAGACAAGAAAGATTGTTCCATAGATTTATAGTTTTGATAATATTGAAATAATGGATTTCATGAAGGTGATTATTTAAAGTTAAAATTGGAACCTCATCGTTTTAATGATATTTTTTAATATTGACAGTCATGTAAGCATTTTACAACAAACATTACATTATTATTTTTAACTAAAGACTTACTTGCTTGAGATAATGGAAATCCATAATGTTTATCCTTTTTATTTAAAGATGATGAAGATTGATGTGTCTTAAAATGAATCTCTTGGTCATCACAATCAATATCATCTTTGTTTATTATTTTTTGACCTACACAACACAAACATAGAGAATATTTGAATTTCATCTAACAACTTGTCTTCTCATGTAGCAATTTTACAATTAAAAAATTTTTACAAATTACTTTACAGATTATTAACTTTATAAGTAAAATAGGGTATATAGTATGGTATATAATATTATAGGTTTCATACTGCTAAACATTTGGTAATAACACCAGAATATCATTAAAGAATAAAAAACTTTAAAATGACATTTTGAAGTAAGTCACTCGAAGGCATACAACTTTAAACTAAAAAAACTCCAATATATTTTCAAATTTAATTCTACAAAAAAAACAATACAAACACTTGGTTGATTTAAATATATACTAATTTATATAATTTTTACTTAAATAAATCAATTCGCCTAATCGAAGGTCACGCCATTATTTGAGTAAACATACTCTTTTAAATATTGCCGTGCTGTACGTTTAAAAAAAGTTTTTTTATCACGTTAAAAAAACGTTTTAAAAACGTTCGTAAGCTAACTGAGAAATTTCGTAAGTTAATAAAAAAAATAAAACGTTTAAAAAACGCTAAAAAAACGTAAAAATTAACATTAAAAAAAACGTTTGCAAAAAAACGTTTTAAAAACGATTGTATTGGTTCTTTTAACGTCCGACCGTAAATTGAACGGAATTAAAACGTTTTAAAAACGTCCTGTGCTTACTGGGGGTTAGCTTATGAACGTTTTTAAAACTTTTTTTTTAACGTGATAAAAAAACTTTTTTTAAACGTACAGCACGGCAATAGAGAATGTTTACGCAAATAATGGCGTGACCTTCGATTAGGCGAATTGATTTATTTAAGTAAAAATTATATAAATTAGTATATATTTAAATCAACCAAGTGTTTGTATTGTTTTTTTGTAGAATTAAATTTGAAAATATATTGGAGTATTTTTAGTTTAAAGTTGTATGCCTTCGTTGAAACTTGGTTGTGTTTGTATTTCTACTTGAATCAAGTAGATATGATTAATAAAGTTTTAATGGTGTGGTTAGCTAGATTATATACTCTAATAAGTAACTTAATTGTTGAGTAAACTTGAATGCTTAAAAAAACTAGATTAAGTTTTTAATTCTACTTAATTATCAACTGCTTTTAACGCAAAAAAATCTATTTGGATTTGAAAAAAGGGAACAACATTCTCAGACTTTTTCTTCTTTAACTCTAAAAATTAAAAATAATATCAGTGGTTTTTATAAAGGAATTACTATAGTTAAAAAGGCTGAAAGGAAAAAATATGATGATTTGTTTCAAGAAAAGGAAGTGACTTACTTCAAAATGTCATTTTAAAGTTTTTATTATTTAATGATATTCTGGTGTTATTACCAAATGTTTAGCAGTATGAAACCTATAATATTATATACCATACTATATACCCTATTTTACTTATAAAGTTAATAATCTGTAAAGTAATTTGTAAAAATTTTTTAATTGTAAAATTGCTACATGAGAAGACAAGTTGTTAGATGAAATTCAAATATTCTCTATGTTTGTGTTGTGTAGGTCAAAAAATAATAAACAAAGATGATATTGATAGTGATGACCAAGAGATTCATTTTAAGACACATCAATCTTCATCATCTTTAAATAAAAAGGATAAACATTATGGATTTCCATAATCTCAAGCAAGTAAGTCTTTAGTTAAAAATAATAATGTAATGTTTGTTGTAAAATGCTAACATGACTGTCAATATTAAAAAATATCATTAAAATGATGAGGTTCCAATTTTAACTTTAAATAATCACCTTCATGAAATCCATTATTTCAATATTATCAAAACTATAAATCTATGGAACAATCTTTCTTGTCTAATCCGAAATCTGAGAAAAAATGCTAATATATATAATATAGCATTGCCACTTTTAGGTATTTTACTGTCTATTAGTTTTTCTCTGATTTAGGGTTAGACCAGTAAAGTTGTTAAATTGTTAAATTTATGTATTTTAAATTTATTTACGTAGTTTAGTTAAGACAATGTAAAATTTAATTAGTGTAAATTTGTTTAGACTTTCAATATTATGTGTTGCTTCTCTTAAATGAGATAAAAACCCAAGGATGCAAAAAACTTAATATAAAATAGTGTGAAGAAGAAGTAGTAACTGAAAGGAACAGCATAATAAAATTTGATAAGTTTGACTCAGCACTTGACAATGTTTCACCTAGTAACTCTGTAGTATCTCTGCAGTTGTAAATTGCTAAATACTGATTTGACAGATTTTTCTTTTTTTTTTAATTTTCTTTACAATATATAATTTTTACTACTTAATTAGGAATTGTCAGATTTCCATTATTTCTTTCTATTAGAAACAAAGAGTTCAAAATATTAGTGGTAAGAACTTTCAAAAACTTGTGATAGCTATGATGAAGAGGTTAGTAAATTAAAAGTGCATTCCTATAAATACTCTGTTTAATTTTATAATGATATTACTCCCATCTTACAATCCATTATACAAATCCCATGCATGGCTCTACGTTAGCCGTTTTACCATAATGGGACGACTGAATAAGCGTGAATTTCATACGCGCAAAGTAGCACATGTGCCAAGCAGTTACAAATACTGGCACAATGCCAAATGGCATAAGTGCAAATGGGCATAACTGCACAAAAAGAATTCCAAACATTGGCATAATTGCAAACTGCTATAAGTGCAAACTGGCATATGTGTAAATTGGCATAAGTGCGCCAAATAGATTTACAAACATTCGCATAAGTGTGAATTGCCATATGTGGGAACTGGTATAAGTGTAAAGCAGTTGCAAAAACTCGCAAAAGTGCAAACAACATAAATGCGAACTGGCATAAGTGTGCCAAATAAATTTGCAAAATTTAGCATAATTCCAAACTGCAAATTTATTACACGCATTTATGTCAGTTCGCATTTCTGCCAGTTTTTTTAACTGTTTTTTACGTAATCAAATTTTGCACTTATGCCTATTCGTAATGTTTGCTAACCTGTTTGGCACACTAATGCCAAGTTACACTTTTACCAGTTTGCAAGTTTAAAGCTATAGGTTATCCTATAGCTTTAAACTTTAGTCCAGATAATTCTTTTAACCCAGAAAATATTCATATATATGACTACACTAATGGTTAGTGTACACTTATGATCTGGACTATATTAATGGTTAGTGTGCTATTTTTTAAATAATAGATTAGATTTAATTAATAGATAAACTGTATCGTTAAATTAAAATCTAAATGTTTAATTACATTTAGATTTTATCGAAGAAAAGAAAAAAATCTAAATACAGTAGTTAATTATAATTTCATAAATTATAAGATATAATATTATTAAAATATATTATTTTTAGATTTGTGACAAATTCGCTCATGGCCAAATCTAATATGGCAGCTGGAAAAGGCAAAGGATCTTTTTAGCCTAACTAAGCTATACAACTTAATAAAAGGTACGTTTATATATATATATATATATATATATATATATATATATATATATATATATATATATATATATATATATATACATATATATATATATATACATATATATATATACATATATATATAATATAAATAATATATATATATATATATATATATATATATATATAATATATATATATATATATATATATATATATATATATATATATATAATATATATATATATATATATATATATAATATATATATATATATGCAATGTGAAGTTATATATATATTTTTAAAACATATTTGTAATTTAAAAACTTATTACTATTATTATTATACTATTATTATTATTATACTATAATAATATTATTACTGTTCAGATTGTCTGTTTTAAATATATAGTTTTTTCTTTTAGTTTGTGCATCGACTTCTCACGAATCATACACAGAGGCGATTGTCGATGCAATAATTGCTGATTCGTGAAAACGGGCAACTTTTGCTTGTCTTAAAGTGCCTTAAATCCATCGTTATAATATTACTTTGTTTGTAAATTGTTTTGAAAAATAAATTTAAAAATAACTTTTAAATAAATTTTTTTTTTTTTTTGTTTTTTAAACCAACTGGTTCTTTTAAAAACAATTTAATAATAGTACCTATGGATTTGGGAATATTTTCTAAAAAATAACGTCTTTTAAAAGTTTAAAAGACGCCTAAATTATGGTTTTATTTAGGTTATTTGAGATTGTTTTTTAAACGTTTTTTTTAGAACGTTTTTTAAACGACTTTTTCAGAACGTTTTTTAAACGCTTTTTTAAAAACGTTTTTTAGGTATTGCCATTTAGAATGTTTAAATAACGTTTTTTTTCTTAGTTAAAAAAAACGTTTTAAAAACGTTCATGTGCTTACTGGGTGTTGTGTTCCATTAAAAGTAACTAGTTTTCGAGTCCAGATATTAATTATAAGCAACTAAAGGTTCACATTACTATTCATTTTCCTGATATATAGAATCCTATTTGCATACGTATCTCTTTCTGTAAATTCTGTTTTATATGGTTTCTTAATTATATAATAAATAAATATTACTATTCACTTAGTTTAATGAACGTATAGCTCATTCAGTTAAGACATTTCGCCGCGGAGACCCAGGTTTACATCCCGCTGTTTCACATATATTTCTTCTCTTTTTACTCTTTCTGATATCATTTACCTTTGGAGAGATTTCTCGTTCTTTATAATAAAGTATTTAATTGTTTATCACACATCCTCTTTATACTTTTTAAAAAGAAAGGCATACTGTTTATCTGTTCATTGAGAGTCCAACTTAAAGGGATTTTACTGTATATATATGTATATATATATATATATATATATTATATATATATATATATATATATATATATATATATATATATAATATATATATATATCTATATATATATATATATATATTATATATATATATATATTTATATATAAATATATATATATATATATATATATATATATATATATATATATATATATATATATATATATATATATATATATATATATATATATATATATATATATATATATATATATATATATATATATATATATATATATATATATATATATATATATATTAGGTATATTTGTATAAACATTTGAAGAATCATTTGATAACATTTTTTTATAATTTTATTATTTAAACTGTTAACAGTTAATATCTTAAATATATCGTAACATAAAATCTTTTGCGTCTTTTTCGTAACTGCACATTCCGGAATGCTTTTTCCGTAAGGAACTCTTTCGTAAGTATTCTTACGAAATGATTAGTTTTGCAAGTTTTCTTTTCGCAATGCTTTATTACGGAATTTTATTTATTTATATTTTTGTATAGCGCGTTACGGAATGTGCATTTTTGCATGTGCAACTTCCGCAATAACAATTCTTTTACGGTAGATAAAGATGCGAAATTTTCGCAAGTTTTGTTTTTTCGGCGAACAACCCTAGATTAGACAACTAAATTTTTGTAGGTGGCCAACTAATTTTTGTAGAAGGCCAACTAATTTTTGTAGTGGGCCAGTAGATGGACATTTTGTCCACCAACTAGCCCACTGTACGCTGTGAAAAAAAAGGTCACAGTTTGTATCTTTAAAACCGGAGCTGTAAAAAACGAGATACGCACGTACCTAATATAATATAAATATATATATATATATATATATATATATATATATATATATATATATATATATATATATATATATATATATATATATATATATTATATATATATTATATATATATTTTCAGACGAAATATAAAACCTGTAAATAATATCCGTCTGTATTTACTTGTTCAAGTGCCAGTGAAATGAACGATAGAAAAGCAGAAGCATTCAGTAGACTTGCAATTTTTTTTATTTTTTTATTTTCAAATGATCTGAATATTTTTGTTGTTTTTATTTAGTTGAATGATGAAATTATTTATACAAAAGATTGGCTTTTTAACTTTTATGTTAAAGTTGTTATTTCCTTGTTAATTGTTGTCAGTCCTTAACAAAGCAAGTAAAAAAATGCACATAATGACAACAGATCACTAGACGACTGATCTTACAAACCCTACAAGAATCCTATAGGATAAGATGCAAAAGTCCCTGCAGGACCTACAAGAATCTTTTGAAGGATCTTGTAGGATTTGTAAGAACTCTTATAAGATAATATAAGATCTACAAAAATATTTTAAGAGATCTTGCAGGATTAGCAGGATTCTTATAGGATGCTGAAGGAAAATTTTAGGTTCGTATATATACGGGTGTAGCCCTTCCCCTTAATCCAGCACTGGTTCCTATAGGAACCAGTGCTGGATAAAAGAGGGAGGGGGGGGGGGGATTAGGGTCCTAGAATTTCGGGGTTACGAAATTTTTAAACCGACCTTTTTATTTTTCTAGTGTTTCAGTCATTTTTATGCTGTGGCACGTTAAAAAGGACTCCGGGCCCTGAAAAGTCTTAATCCGCCAATGATAGGAACCATAACATTTATTATTGTATAATTAATATCATAAATCTAATAACCAAACTAAGAACATACGGAGTTAGGTTTTTATTTTGAATGGAAGGAAAGAATGTCTATTCTTCTTTTAATTACTGATAATAGGTAAGTTAAAGTTTGAAATAACATTTTCTTATTAAAAAAAATCATTCTGTATAAAAGAAATTTTTCACATATTATCATTATTAGAGAATCACAATTGCATTGCTGATTACTTTCGTTTTTTCTTCCTATCTAGGTCGCTCTGATTAAGACTTCGTCTGACGCACGCCCACGAGTAATTGGCAAAAACAGCTGCGAGTTGCTCTTTGAGATTTCGCATTATTGCATCAGGAACTGTGGTTCTATAATAAGAAATAAATATATATAAAAAATCATAGAAATCAGGCAATTAATCATTAATTAAAAATTTAAAACCCGTCCCACCCCTTAACCCATCGCAGACACAAGGGGGGGGGGGATTATTACCCCCTGACAAAAATTTTAAATTATTCAAAGAGTATGACTAAGTAAAAGGTAAAACACTTGAAATTTTAGCTACTTATTCCAAATATTTAGGTGAATTTAAGTAAAAAAAAATTCATTTGAAATGCCTAATCTGAGCATATTAGTCAAATCCATGGATCGATTCGGCCAAACGAATGACTGGTCAAAAATTTAAATTTTGAATTCTGGCTTTTCTTTGTAATCCTGAAGTTTCATATTTTCCAAGAAGCTTTTTTTTATACTTATATATTTATAATTATTTCAATAAATGAAGTATGAGAAGTTGTTAGTCCAAGATCCTACTTTTTTGGATCTCGATCATGATCCAATAAGTTAAACTAACTGATCCCAAATTTTCAAAATAAGTTAAGAAAAATAGAAAATTTAATAAAAACCCAAGCACTGAAAGTATGATTTTCTAGATAACCCCCTCCCACGCTGTGCCAAAAACCTATAAAAAATAGGTAAGCCTTAAAGCTGCTGCCCAATAACATTACCTACATAAACATGCTCTAATTATGAGGCTCAAAAATGTGACTTGTCATGCATTCGACTTGTTCGAACTGTCTATACGTTTGCTTTGCCCAGCTGCATCAACAAATGTAACCTATAAATATTTAAAAATAATTAGAAAACTATTTGGCCAAAATTGCAAAAAAGAAGACAACAAAATTTAATTTTAGTCAAAAATGATTGGAACAACTGTTGATCTACTTACATCACTATTAATTGCTTGATTGGCTAAGCCTTCATTATTGAGCAGATTGACTGTCTCCCACTGCAACTGCTGAATTGACCTTAAAAGACGATTAGTCTCTTTACCAGTTCTAATGAGCTCACCTATATAATATAATTTACTATTAAAAAAAAAAAAAAAAAAAACTACCAGCATGATCATCACAATAATTTGATGAAATCATAAAAATTACATACTACTTAAATCCTGTAACACCTTAGTTTGGTTATTGATAGCTGCAACTGAAAAAAATGCAGAAAAATGTAAAAAAAAAAATACTTATGAATTAAATAGACAACAACAACAACAAAGCTTAAATTTATCAAGTGTAAGAATATATGACAAATTAGCATTAATCGGTAAGGCAAAGATAAATCAATGCTTTCTCATTCATGGGTAATTGCCTGCTCACCTTGTATGATTATTTATAAACAATCATACATGGTGTATTGTAACTTTATCTAAGCCATACAGTAAATGTAAACATAAACAGCAATGTTAATTATTAAGGCTAATAACATACTAATATCTGAAGATGAAGCTGATAGAGGCACATCACCATGTTCTGTAATAAAAAAAATATACATTGATATTAATACTATTTAATTCTATTGTATTGCATCCCCAAACAGTAACTCCTTTATTAATTAATTTGTATAGTAGTTTTGAAATTTAGCATCCCATACCAAAGGTATTTCAAACATTTTGTTTATCTAGTATTTAAAATTTACTATTTAAATTTGTAGTATTTAAAAAGATACCATTGTGTTGATTTAATGGACCAGCTAGTTAGGAGGTTTACACTAAAATAACAAAAAGTGACCTAATTGTAATTCCTGATATCTAAGCACAAAGGATATGTTTGTTAACTAATGTATCCTTATATCTCATATCTCGTGTGATGACATACACAGGAGATCATATCTCCCATCACATAATGTAATAGGTGAGAAGTTACATGATGTACCAGCACAAGCCACAAGTAAGTAACACAAGTTGTAACAGGTTCCATATTTTATAAAGCATTCTAATTGACTTAAAATACATTTAAAATGTGTTTTAAAAGTCGTTTTTCAAATGTTGCTTTTACTAAAGGATATTACCAACGTAACAAATTTTATTATCATAATTATCATAACAAATTTTCTCACAGAAAAGCAAAACAATAAGAAATAAAAAATTATTTTATTTTATTTTAATAGGTGTGCTAATACAAAATTGTTTTAAATTGATATCGGTATACCGGTATCAAAATCGGCCTGGATACGTCGCTGGCTTTGAAAAATCAAACACCTAAAATTTAATCAATCAATAACAAATTGATATTTTT